AATATACAAATAAAAAATTTTATTATAAAAATACAAAAAAATATATCCTTAAAGAGGTGTCCTTAATGGGCTAGATTTGGTGTGGGTTTACATTTGATCTAACATTTCTTGGGCCTGACTAGAATTTATACTACCATCCCAGTCATCATTCTCTATACGTCTTTCTAAGTTTTCTCTTAAAATAGGATAGAAGGGATCGTTATCTGATTTTAATACACAGAATACACAGATACATTCCAATATAATGAAAAACTTAATCAGAAAACTATCACACACAGATGCTACAAAGTAGACCTATAAAGTAAGAAATAATTACACAATATAAAATTTACTTACAAGTTCTATTACTGTATTGAGGTTTGGATTTAGGTTTATACAGCCTGTTAAAGTTGTTATCATTTTGGGTATTGGTATCATTAGTATTGGAGGTGTTGGGATTGTTGGCCTTGGGGGTGTTACTATCATTAGTTTTGGAGGTGGTGCTATTATTGGTCTTGGGGGTAGTGGTGTCATTGGTCTTGGGAATGATGGTGTCATTGGTCTTGGGGGTGGTAGTATTATTAGTCTTGGGGGTGGTGCTGTCATTAGTGCTCATTTTTTGTTCTAAATACAAAAATTCATAGTAAGTAAAGACACAGCCTCATTGCTTCACAATAAAAATTCGTTTTCACAGTTTCCGTTAAATAAAATAACAAATTACTTTAAAAATAAATTATAGGCAAGTAAATCAAGTAAAAATATATATAAGCAAAAAATAACGTTATTGATAACTTATCTTACTGACAAAAATCGCTTATTTTTATATCGCTTATTCGATAGATCTAAAAAACCTGCCAGAAAAAAAAATTATATGATTAGTAATTGCATTACTCTAACATAATACCAGATCCAGCCATGTAAAGCAACCCTGTTCGGCTATAAGTTCCAAATACTAAATCTATTTCATCATTTTTTAGGTGAAATTAAACCCCCTTAGATTTGATGATCGCTACTATAAAGTGAAAAAAGTTGATGATCTGGAAATGGCGGAGATTCCAAGTCCTAGTAATATATAAATTTTGATAAAACTACTAATTAAGAACGTTATACATATTTCTCTTATAGCCCTTTTAAGTCCCATTTGCGCTTTTTCTTATCACGAGATCATATGTTGTATAATAAGAAAATGGTCTAGATATAAATTCGTAATATTCGTTATTAATAAAAAAATTGACCATGAGAAATGATTCTGCAGGAGAGTGATACAAACCACATGCCGATTTTGTAATCTGTATTACCATTATGAACTTTATTTTTTTGTGCGGTCTAATCTATTATTACCCGCTATCTCAGCCAATTATCAGCTAATTATTTTTTACCATCGGGGGTATATAACTGATTATAGTAATTAATTGATATATATATAATACATATAATATAGCGCATATATTTGTTTACTGTCTTACAACCCCCATTTATATATTATTGTTATTATTTATACAAACTTATCAAAAATAGAGATATAGCCCCAAAACAGAATAATAATAACATATACGTATATATTTTAAATTCAAAGATCTAGATTATTTTAGAACAATTTCATGTCGAATTATTATAGTGCCAAATGCAATTAATTATTAGATAACCCGTTATAATTATTATAGCCACATACATATAAAATAGATCTAATTTCTAATTTTTAACAAAAATCTATAAGCTAATATTCTACTTTTAATATTATAGTCTTTTTGGGTGCAGTCATTGCCTTTAATGGCAGGCCCAGGATCTGACTGTTATCTCCCTGAATTTTATATTTTCATTTTTCATTTTGCTATTGAGGGTGCGATCATCATTCTTTTACATGGGGTATATGCAAGGAGAGGAAGGTCCAACAGACTTTCCAGGTTTTAAACCACCAGGCTACACCATATAAATGATATGAATGTATCCACCTCACTTTTTTGACATTATACTTTTTTCCGATAGTCACACAAAAAATTTCATCTATAATTCTAGATAATAGGGCCTCTGACTTCATATATTTATTTTCCATTATATTATTATAAAACACTGTTTAGAGAGCGTGATTGTTAGACTATTATTGTCTACATAGCGAGAAGAAGAAGACCTGATAAGCTTCCCGTGGTTTAGTCCACTAAGCTACGAGATGAGAAATAGTTTGAATATATCCACCTCAAAACTTATATAAACATGCTATTTTTCTTTATCTTGGGCATGATCATTATCCTCAATGTGGGGTGTGTGTAAAGAGGAAGGTGATGCAAACTTCCTAAACAACCGAACTACACCACAGAGAGTGATTGAATGTATCCACCAAAAAATAAAATTATAATCAAAATTTAAGAGACTTGTCTCATTGCTCTGCAATACTTTACCATACTGCCATTGATGAGTAAAGTTATATTCGACCTGAACTAGGTATGTATGTATTGCATTTCAAATTTGTTAATTTGTGTTGAATCACTTTTGTATCAATAGATCAGCTATCCAGGTTACTTGTTACAGGTATATATAGTTATGCAAAAAATTTCGCTATGAGTTTTAACTTCTGGTGATAGGGCCTCTGGCTTTGTATATTGTGTTGTAGAAAGCGCATAATCACTATTAGATAGCTTAGTACTTTGGGTTGGGTAGTTTGTTTGGTCTGCAAAAAATAGACAAGAGAACTTAATCAGTTTATATAAAATATAATTCTAATCTTGATATATACTTATTTTTTCTCATGGCTATAATTTATTCCACACTTTTAATCAACTATAATGACTGGTACGAGTGAAATGTCTTTGAATCTTTTCAAGTAAGAAGCTTATATATTATTAAGACTCTAATATGGGTATATTTCGAGTGCTCAAAAAATAAATTGCTATATTCATTAGTATATAGTTATTAAATCAAATAGGTCTAAATCCCTAAATACGATATAAATCACATAATCTCTAAAAACACTATAATACGTTAAATTACTTAATCATTAAATATGGTCTATACAGATAATTGTCCAGTTTTAAATGATATCGAGTGGAGGGATAACTGCCAATTTCCAGTAATTCGTGATGGGGAAACACCATCTAATTGGAAGAACCGAATCTGGAATCAATTAGTGAATTATAGAAATAACAATAAATTGACTGATTACAATAAGCGATATCTTATTGCCAGAAAGATGGAATCTATAGAAGGATTCAGTTATTGTATAGCGGTTAAAGTGAATATTGCTATATGTTATAGCTGTGATCAGTTTGTTTATGTTGATAAAAGAGTAAGATATGAATTATATCACAATTATAAGATAGAGAAATATTGGTGTACAAATTGTACTGGAAATAGACATTGTGATATATGTTTCAAAGAGTATATGAAGCTTAAACAAAAACCAGAAGTAAAAAGCGATATTTATACAAGGTTAGCTATTTATCGATATGAATTATGAATAGAGAATCTTATCAATAGAGTTAAACATATTCGAGAAACAGCAAAAAGATCTGAGCATGTACAACTATACAGAGAAAATGGCTAGAGTATATTTACAAACCCAAAGGTATGTGTGTAACAGAACTTGCTCAATATTATAAACTCTTATGGGGAATTCGAGAGGAAATGTGCCAAATTAACAATGTATAGACCAATGTTTTCAAAGCAATTCATATATTTATTTATTTGATTTAATTTATTTATTTAATTTATTAATTATATAACTTATTCATATATATATCTATTTAAAATAAAACAACGTAAAGTATTCCCAAGGGCTAGTACTTTAGACTTTATTTTATTATTCCTGAGGGCTGGTAATATTTTTTACTTTGATTTTTCATATCAACCTATTTTACCCAGTACAAAAATCTTCTTGGTACAAATAAACTACAGAATTTATTTATTTTTCAACATCTACTTCATCCTCAATTAGGCTGGATACTAATAGCTATTTCATTGAAGAATAGTAGCGAATAAGATACTAAAAACATCCATCTCAATTTAAATACTAGGTAGGTTGGATACGTGCATCTTCTCAATTATATAAGAAGTGGCAAGTAGAATATACTTATATTGTTATATTAATAAATAACTAAAAATTAATTATTTGATTGTTATGCCTTATTTTATCCAATTTAAAAGTATTATATCTTCTGAAATATTATCCTGGTTAGGCAGAATGTTTATTATCTTTTAATTTCTCGATCTCCTTTTCTAGATCAAGAGGGGTGTCTCATTGAAGTGAGAAAGACTTAGATCTGAATTTATTCAGATCTATAACTATAAACTCCTTTTGCCTCAAATAGCCATCAATAATTTTTGAAGCTTTTCATTGATCTACATCAGTGTAAGGACTTATAATATCTGTAAGTTTTCGAATAGAGCCCCCACTATTAAAGAGAACAATGTGAGTAGCATTTTTGTGAATATCTATTAGGATTTTGTAGAATTTTTGAGCAACATAAATTAAGAAAATATTCTCATGATGACTTCAAGTGAAAAATGGAATAATTTTTTTCTGTATAGCTAGAGGATCAGAGTAAAAATCTTCAAATATCGCTAATGTACTTCTTTTAGCATTAAACTTTTTGAGATCTGGGATTTTATCAGGAGATAGTGAAAAAAATATGACATCTTCATAATAGAGCTTTGATTTGTCTTGAGCAAGATATTTATAAAAATCTTGAACTATTTTATATTTTGGCTCATTTAAATAATATTCGAAAAGAAATATATTATCACATTTAATATTGCGTTCCCCTATCTTAGAATACCTTTTCTTCTTAAATATGTAATAAAATTTGTGCATTGTTAGCAAGTTTAAATTCATATTGGTCTTATCTAATTGCTAGCCCCTGCCATCATGATATGAAAAGGCCATGCTAGTGCATCTTTATCTCCCTGGTATTTTTTCGAAGGTTTTACCTTATCCATGACAAATACACAATATAACATCTTTTTGTTAAAAATATATATTATGTTTTTTTATTTCAATGAATAATCTGATTTTGACACGCTATTTATATCTATATTTTGTAGATAACCTTTCTCTTGCAATTTGCATTTTATGTA